ACACAAGCAGACATCTAGCCTGCCGTGGTCGACCATCACATGAAAATCTGTTACGTTTGACCGAACGGCATTTTCCTAGTCTCATACCACCTACAGAGGAAAAAAAGCATCCATCCAGAATATGTAAAGTATGTTTGGCTCACAAAAAAAGTGCAGAATCACATTATCAATGTGTATAGTGTAATGTTCCACTGTGTATTGTACCTTATTTCAAGATATATCACACAAATATTAACTTTTAAAATAAAAGTTTTTGTTTTTTACATTTCCCTAATATGTTTATTTTGTGTGTAATAAATATAAAGTAATTTGGAATAATACGATAGCCAGAATTATTATTTTTCTAAAACGTGTGATCGCATTAGGCTTAACATCGAAAAATATTCAACGTGAAGAGACATGCGACGGAAAAAATATTCAACATCAAATACGTTAAATTATGATATATTTTCACTCATAAGATACATTTGCATTACAAAAAATATAAGTTAATGTAAACTTTATTTTTTGTCTATACAATAGTAACAATTTTGCATTTGTGCAACAAAAACAAATTAGTGTTTTACAACATAATTTAATAACTGATTTAACTTTTTTTATACAACACTTAATCTCAATACAAAAAGAATATGCTCAATGCTTTCATAAATACTGAATAGAAGACAGAGCATTTTATACAAAAATGAAACCAAATGTTAAGTGTAAGGCTTTATTTTCACGAGAGGAAAAGTGCTAAATTAGACCACAATCTTAATTTATATTTCCTACAAAGGTTTCCAATTTGGCTATTACTAATTTGCCACTTACAGGTTGGAGGGTTAATAGTTTCTAATCATCTGATTTTACCAGATAATTCCTGTAACTAAAAAGCTGTCTGAAGTTGAAGATGATGCACCATGACAATCCATACACAACTTTATTTAAAATCTTTATTCACTGGGACAGTGTACTGATTTCAAATTAAAATATTACATAGTACAATATTTCCTATAATCATTCTGATTGCAGATTGACTGATATAAAATAAATTACCAATGATCAGTTGTACACATAATTGTATAACAACATTCTGATGCTTCCACAATTGCCTCATGTATGGACCCATTGATTGCCTGTTTTGAAATTTTGAACAGATTGAAGACTGATATATTATGCTTTCTGACCATTGGTGATTCATGTAAGTGCTTGCCTTTCCTGAGCAGAAATTACTTTCTGAAATATTATATCTTGTTTAAAAATTTTCAACTCTACTACAGATAAAAACTAGTGTTGCAACGAATAGTATATTCGGCCTAAGGTCGAATACTCGACCGAGAGCATGGCCGAATAGCCGAATATTCAGCTTGATTAATGCATGTACAAAAATTGGCATACAAACCGCATTATGGCAAAGACCCTTCTCTCTATTGGTCCACTGTCACTACACTTCGCCAATCGCATTAATTCTTCACAATTGTAGCGGGCAGACAAGAGCATCATCACAGTATGTGATAAATGATGATATCAAATGTGAATAACAATGAAATGACCTATACGTAAATAATGGAAAAAGAACAGAGAAGGACCGCCAAGTGAAAATGTGAAAGTAAATATGAAATTAAGTTGATAACATAATCGAACAAGTCGAGGCAGCTTATTGGCATAAAATTCGTGGTCAGCAATGCCAAACAATTGTCATAGACTTTGGAAAGCTAAATGCTTCTAACGAAAGTCACTTAGCATGCACAGGCGAAAGCCTGGGGCCGTTCGGGCTACCAAGCTGTCTCGAATCTGTGAAATCATAACTGACTTATACTGACATCCTATCTGTCTCTTTTCTCCGTTATCACCAGGCTTATGAGTCACGTAATTGTAAAATGGGAAATCTACGACGGAAAAGTGACAAATCAAAAGTATTGTGAGCACGCATTATGATGTATGCATAGACATATGTGGACTAGAGTGATAGAGGAAAGAGAAAGGAAAGAGCAAAGACGAGCGCTTAAAAAGAAAAATAGGCAGGGTCAGACCCTCAGATGTGCGACAATTCTCAAAACAAATAGGTGTGTACGTGTGCTGATCTTTGTAATTACAAATTGTGAATACATGTGAATAATATTATTTTCTTTTTTATTTTGTGCATGCTATAAGTTATGAATAAATATAAACAAACAACACTAACCCGATAACATTAAATCTAAATACCAAAAGGATTAATTTACTGTGTTTTTGTTATTTCTTACTCCTGTTTTTAGGTATTCGGCCGAAATAGAGAAAAATAGGCTGAATATCGAATAGTAACCAAATATTTGTTACATCACTAATAAAAACTCAAAACTCAGTTGTATGCATCATGGTAAAATTTTTGTATACAGTCGACCCCCCTATAATTACGGTCCCTATAATTACGATTCCTATAAAACTACGAAAAAATTGCTACCGGTATCCGTAAAAAATAGTAAAAGTTCCCTATAAACACCTCAAACGTCATCGGGCAGCCGAACTACTTTCCCGCCGTCCATAGCGCCATGCTACGGAGAGATTTCTATCGTCTGGACAGTATTATATAAATTATATATAAATTAGGTACTGTACATATAATTATATATTAATTATATATAAATTAGGTACTGTATATATAATTATATATTAACTTATTGTAACTTTGTTATAATTAAATATATAATTTCCGCCGTCTAGCGTGGCGCCACGCTACGGAGATTTTTACGCTAACTATCGTCTGTCAGTATGTAAATTAGGTACCGTAAGTCTAATACAGTACTGTAATTTTATACATTTCTTGTGAAAGAAACATTTCTTATTCAACGGCGATTAAAATTATTTATATTAATGATGTCTCCGAAGTTCTACGAAGTTTTCACAGAAAAATAAGTTGTTAGAAATCGGCCGCTCTTTGCTGAGCTGTTCCGCGACGAAAACAATGTTGAGCAATGGCAATGTCGAATGGTGACACTCGGTAAGTAATCCTACAATTTTTTGTTTATAGCGTAGTTTATACGGATTATTCCCAAAAAATATATACGTATTTTGGAAATGTTGAGTCGGATTAGTCTAGAATCGATTAATTTTATGGAAGAAAATCTTTCAAACAGCCGTAGTCCGTAAACTTGACACGTGTCGGGTTGTGATTGGAAGGATTCGTAAGAAATCGGATTCCTAGAGAATGGAACGTATCTCTATCTTATAGAGGGGTCGACTGTAATTAATTCAGCAATGAACTAAAAATTTGCATTAGCCAATAACTTTGAACAAGTGTATACTTCCCTGTTTCATATAATTTGACATACATCAAAATAGAAAATTTTCTTTTTCCAACATAGAATGAATAAAAATATATGAGGGTGCTGCTATTTGCAGAGTAGTGCTCATTACATTGCTACATAAAAATACTGACCAGTCTGGAGAGTTCAGTTTGTGTGATAATCTTATATTTTTTGTTTTTAACATAAATGCATGACAATACAGAGAAAAAATTTCAACGTGTTGCACTATATTATATCCCAAATTTGCTATACAATGAGATGATATGATACATGAATATGCACATTTGGATACCAAATGATTATCCACCTTTAATGATATTCACCTGATTTCCAAGGTGTTTTCTTGTCTCATTGTGTACCACAGGGACAGACAATTAATGCTAGATACTGCTATCACTAACTTGATATCCAGTAATTTGTCACAAAAGACCATAGCTATCACAACCAATCCAACTGTTTCATGACAATGTATAACAAAGCCAATCTTCATCACAAGCAAGGATATTACTAGGCTGATAGCAGTGGGAGATACTAGAACACCCATCATATTGACCTTTATCCAAAAATTAAAAAACTTAGAGGCAAGCACTTCCAAGACATTAAAAATCTTTCTACTTTAGGATATTTTCTCCAGATAATGGCTAAAAATACTGATGCTGATAGTATTCACAGCCTCCCAGAAGTCTGGCAGTGAATTGTCCACAAACATGAAGACATCATCAAAAAGCCGTGAGCACAAGATTTGTTTTATTTTAGAATTAATAAGTTACAACACTATTGCCACTGCAAATAAAATGGTCCTGTTTTTTTATATATTTATTTTTAATCCATAAACTATAACTATCAGTACTATATGCAACTGATTTTACTGCAATATATTTTTAATAAAACAAGAAAGAAATTTTAAAAATAAATGAAGAAAAGAATCTTTCAAAGCTGAAACAATCAATTCTAACAATCAAAATTTTAAGTATTTTCAAAATGAATTAAATTATATAATAAACTAATGCACACAAACAAAAATACAGAATATTTGATAATATCACAAATTTATATTGAAATAATTACTTAAAAAGGTGATCATTATTAGATAAATCCATAAATACACAAGTGTGTATTCTACTCTTGTAGAGCATATTCAGTTCCAGCCAGATTCAATCCCTCTCCCTCATATTTTATAAAAATTATCTACAAGATTTTTAAATATCTAATTTATCACACAAAGCTATTTTAAGAACTAAATAATTGGATCTATTGTGGTAAGTAATTATGTAACTATTAAAATTCAAATTATTTTAATAAAAAGTTAGAAACTAAAGAATTTATTATTAAATTGCTGAAATAATACAATATAACTATCTTAAGTGACAAAAGTAATTTGTATCAAGAGCAATTGAAAGATATATATTCTGATGAAAGTACATCTAAATAGAAAAAGATATTACTTTTTTAAAGAAAAGTAATATCTTTTTCTACAGCAAAACAATTAAGGTTTAAAATTAAAACTTGCACTTCTTATTTTTATTACATAATTAATCCAAATTATGATTATAGAAAATCTTATAAAAGTTATGATGAATATTGTATGCTACATTTTCAAATATGTTGATAATGATAAAAACAAAAATTGTTTTTGTAAATCATAAAAATTAATTAAAACTTATTATATAAGAAAAATAATATTCAAAAATTTTTTAAATTCTGTATATTAAGATAATAAGTAAATACTCTACTTACCAATAAAACACCAATAGTACCCAATTTTACTAACTGTAAATTTACACTGTGTGTATTGGTAGAAAGGAGTGCTGTCAAAAGATGAGCAACTTCTAATCGAGTAAAACCAACAGGTGGATCTAATGTTCCAACAGTTGTTGTAATTGCAGATTTCTTTAAAAAGAAAAATCAAATTAACTTCTCAGATATGAGAATTTAACAAATTGGTAACTTAATTTAAAAAATAGTAATCACACTTTTACCATAGTATAAAATTATATTTGTATGCAGTAGTCAAAAGTAAACCAAACATTAATGTAACTATTATTACATTAATAATACAAGTATTTACAGAAACCAGCTTGAAAATAAGAATTTTCTGGAACTAGGTACTTCTGTCAACACTTTTTTACTTATTAAAAGTCCTGCAGCACTTTTTATCTCATATCCTGATTTGAATCTGCAATCCTTTCATTTTGAAAAATGGAATTCTGCAGAAATAAGGTCTGGTGACTAAGAAGACTGTAAAAGGGTACATGATATGGTATATGATATTTCGTCAACTTTCAACTAACTAGGAGAGCACAATGCACCAAGACTCATTATGATGAAAAATCTAACTTTTTGAAAATCAGAATGAGGACATTCATTTTTGTCTTACTGAGTTATGGAGACATGCCAATGGAGACTGCCAGGAACAAAGACATAATTCACACATCTATCCTATAAAAATCCACAAGCATTACCCTCCCCTTAGATCAGGTGAGAAAATCTCTTTGGTAAACAGGCTGATTTCCATGTTGATGAGGCATATTCACTCTATGGGTTATACAAAAACACTAGATTTCATCATCAGCATTCATTCTACATAGAATATCTGGGTCTATTAAATGCATTAATCAGTCTCTGCTAATGAGTACAGTATTCATTTATTCTCAATACGTAAGGGCTTTCCATTTTTGCTCATTACTTGGATTCTTATAACAGGGTACTTATGTTTGACATGCTGTATTGAACTTATCCAAAAACAGCATACAAACATAGAAAGGACAATGTATGCAAGTAAATTGCAGTAAAAGAGAAGTCTATGTACTCTACTATCATCACAATCAGCTAGATGGCTTCATTAGATAACACAACTCTTGAAGAAAAAAAAAATCACCTATGTGCTCTCTCAATTTCACATTTCTGATTTTATTTTCATATTTATCTATCACATATGAATAAATTCATGAATTAAAAAAAATATAACAACAAAAAACACTATATTTAAAAAAACATGAATTTATAGAACAAATTAAAGTTCCATTTTTTTAATTAAAATTTTTCTGAGAGTATAGTGTTCCAAAATTTAGATTTATTATTTCGTATGTTTTTAAGATAAATGCTATTATCTATAAAACTGATAACTTCAATTCTTTATTACATAATTGTAATTCAGCTTGTTTAACTCAAAAATCCAAATTTTTAAAACATTATTAACTTATATAATACACATTCTCTTAAACAAAATCAACATCTGTAAATATATAAAAACTACATTTACTTTACTATAAACAAACTTTAACATAGCTTTAGATGAAATTTATACCTATATTCTAATTCAAACACCAATTACAGGTATACCTCGCCTTACGTCGGTAATTGGTTCCAGGAAAACGATGTAAGTCGAAAAACGACGTAAGTCGAGGTATGCCTGTATATTTATTTATAGTAAGTACATTGAAATTTTTGCAGCATATGACAATACTTTAATTGTTCTGAACTATAGTTGACTTTGTATGCATAGAAAGTTACTGGAGCTAGTTCTCTTACAATAAAACTTTTACACTAATTACTGTCTACACACCTGTTAATTTTTTTTTGCCAGTTCCAAACTGTTAGCAGCAAAATCTACACATACAAAGATGGAGTGGCATGAAAGTTCATGTAAGCACACACAACTTTTACTAGCACCTGACTGTGATATTTCACTGGAATGCCAAAAAGTTGTTTCCAACTTTTTACATCTTTTATCATGTAAACATATAATAATGCACCAGTTGCATCATTGCTTCATTGAAGCAATGATGCAACTGGTGCATTATTACATGTTAAAGTATTTTTACTGGCATTCTGAAAGTCATTGGTACCAGCTAATCCATGCACATGTAAACACAGCCTATTTCATGCATAGCAGTCATATATGATTAGAAAGTCTAAATGATTATTAGTAGTTATTAATATAAAAGTAATAAGAAACTGTCATGTACCTTTTGCAAAAATTACTCTTTACATCCAAATAATTCATGTCAACATTAGCATATTAGAAAATATTAGAATACAACTCAATTCATGACAAATATGATTGTGTGTGTATTAAATCACTAATTGTTATAAATATTTGTAAAATTTTAATAAAATTTTTCCTTTTCTCAAATGCTCAGACATCTTCTCACAAAAAAGTTTTAAAATTTGTTGCACCTAATTTACAGATGTGGTCTTACTTTAATATGTTCTATAGAAAAGCTGCATGAAGAGTTTAACAAATTTATTGAAGTTCAGAACTTTTTATCCACCAATAACTCTACTGAAGAAGTCCTTTGGGCAAAATGCATTTAGAAAAATTATTGGTATAATTAAAATTTTTCTGCATTTAGGTTTGCCTTTCTTTTATATTTTTTACTTTTATTGCATAATTTACGTAATGTTTTAAAGTTTAAAAGTTGTTTATCCTCTATAAGTTGGAACAGAATGAAAATTTATTTTTCATCTATTTTTTACAATACAATTACGTGATTTTGAAATTTATTTTTGTAATCAAATTTAAACTAACTCCATGATAAAAAAATTTAGCTTTGTTAGAAAAAATTTAAAAGTTATCTGAAAAACCATTATAAAAGATTAACTTTTTACATAGCAATAATAATATCAATTTTCTTAAAGTTTTAAATTACACTTTTTTGATTATATATTATGTACAGAAAAAAAAATTAATACCAATATACTTACTGGTGGTGGTACTAATAGTAATTGATGAAAACTATTTAGATGAGGTGTTAAAGCTGACATCACATTTTCAACTCCTTGTTCAAGACGTTCTGCATCTAATGAGGTCATCTGATCAGGTGCATCATTACGGAAAAACACAGATGTAAAACAGTGAGGAGCACCTTCTCCTTGCAATGGAGGTTGAACTTGATTCTGAGGAATTTGTTGTTGTCCTGCAGGTCTAAAAGATTTTTTTTTTAAATCATCATTTAGAAGTGTCTTTTAATTTGCTTATTTTAATTGTTTTGTTAAATATTTTATACACACAAATAGTGCCAAAACCTTTTAATGAAGAATTTATTAAATATAGGAAGTTTTCTTATATACAAACTGGTTGAAAATAAAATGAAAAAAATTTAGCCTGAAAGATTGTTATGATTTAATTAAAAGAACCAATTCTGTAAACATGCAAAAATGGTAAATTTTATAAATTTTCACTGAATCAAATGTGTTAAAATAACTGACGAGGGACTGTTTTCTATTAGGAAATAATCCGAAATGCATTTTGGGTTTTTGTTTTCATATGTAGTAACTTTTTGAGTTTATTAAATTGTTTTCACTTTGATCTCTGAGCGTTTGTGCCCGTCATTTGGTCTGATAAGCCCTCACTATTATCTGCCTCACGGTTGTGGATAATTTAATTTTCATTTAACTGATATTATTATATCAAGGGCTAAAAGCAACTTTTGTAATAATTTTGTTCAATGATGATTCACTTTTAATAGTTTAGTTCCAATTTAATTATGTTTCTATATATACCCAAAACATGTTTTTAGATTTATTATGTTATATACACAGTATGTCCCAAATGTTGATAACACATATGTAGACCTAATTTTTTTAAACCTAACTTAGTGATCTGTAGAATTTTTTCAGACATTTTACTGGTTTTTGAACTTAAAGATTGAAAAACACTGAGTTAGTTTATCTGTTCTTATGTATGTAGATATGTTTGAATAATTAAAGTTAATATGTATGAAAAGTTTAATTTCACAGATAAGTTTTTTACATGAATTATTGCTTATGTATTCATTGTTTTTCTGAGAATAAACAAACTAGTATAGGATCTGAATTGAAATTCAGATCCTATACTAGTTTGTAATAATTTTGAAACAAACATACACATTTTGAAATACTTTTGTTCTATTTAACTGAAAAAAAAAATCCTATTTATTCATTTTCAGATGATGATATATGAAGACATTTCCAATGTAAGTTATTAACAATGGTTACTTTTAGATATTAAAAAAACCCTGTTAATTTAATTACATATAAAAACATTTTACAATGAGCAGGATATTAGTTTTCACATAAACATTCCAAAACTTTTGTTCATTAAACTGGAGTTTTACTGTAATGTATTCAATACAATATAATAGAATTTTGCTCTGTATATTCAGAAACACCAGATTAGTGCATTATTCATTATAATAAAACATTTAAAATATATTTTGATGTTTTTTGTGTTTAACGTAAATGATTACATAAGTGTCTATGCAATCATTTTGCATTACACAAAGTAGAGATCCAATACTAAGCAATACCTGCAAATATGCAATCCTATAAAACAAGACCATATACATTATATTTAGTAAAAACAAAAACTGTTGTTTGCTTGTTTGTGTGTGGGGTATAAAGAAATTTAACCAAGAGCCTAAGAATTAGTGAAATAAAATATTTTCTAGACACACATGTATTTTGTTCTTTATGCTGTATTAGGTGCTATTAAGTATGCATTCTTTTTTCCAGTAATGAAAAGTAACTGTAGTGTTAACCTATGATCATATGAGATAGTGACGATTTTATGTACGGTAACTACTAGTTTTTCCAGGTATTTTTCATCAAACTGACTTACTTTAGCCATGCCTGCATGATATCCTCATGCTACATGCTATCCATCTCAATGTGTAAAAATTTGATTATAAACATCTGAGGAAAATCACCACCTAAAGCATAGATCTGAAAATCACCACCTGACCACATACAATTCTTTTTTATCACAAGAATAAGGCAGCAATTTTTCACTCTAACAATCAAAAATTTCTCATAAGGTTTCTCAAAATTACTGTAAAGGGTATCCATGACATTATGGATGTTTGCCATATTGTCAGCAACTTGCAGATTGCCATAGTGTCATTCATGTCTACGCATGACATGACATTATGACAATCTGCAAGTTGCAATGACCTTGGAATATATGTATCTCTGTAAGATAGCCTGTGTTTTCAACAATTTAAATGTTTTTGCAGGTTTATTTCATCCCTGAGAAACTATAGAAAAACAATTTTCAGATCCTTCTGAGACACACAGTAAATCCTACCAGCAAATTTTCAGCCAAGTTCAATTCAAGTAGCCGATGCTATAGCAAAGTTTAAAGGGCTCACTATAGAAGTCTTGTCAATGACAAGACTCTGTTCTGTAAATAAAATAATATCTTATAAACTAAACATTTGACATTGAACTTTAGTATCTGCAGAAGAGATATTACAAAATTTTTCAGAATTGTAATATTCAAGGAACAGTAATTAGATGCAGTTTAATTGTGAATAAAATGAGCAGTGAAAAATCAGTCTGATATATATGATGCTGTTAAAAAAAACTGTATGTAGTCATGTATTAGTCTATTGAACATGGGTTTAAAGCCAGACAGTTTAACAACATAATAATTAATGTTTAAAAAAAATGTAATTAAATGTTCAAATAAATGAATTTTAATTTACTCAGTTTGATATAATTCAAAATTATGTTATATATTGATTCCTTACCCTTGCCTTTTGAATTCTAGCAAAGAAAGAAATACTGATATTCCACTAACTAAAACACACTCTCGCTTTTCACCATTAAACATATGATTAAGTAGTTCACTTAATGTGTCTATTCTGAAAAAGAAAAAAAAAACAAAAATAATTTTACAGAAATGAAATTATTTACATTAATATTTTAAAAATTTAAGATATAAAAATTGAAAACAAACAAAACTGATACATGACAATTCAGTTTATAATAAGAAAATATAAAATTGTATGCTTTGAAACAAGATATTGTATATTAAGTCAACAAATCAGTTCAACTTCAGCAAATACAAGTAGTACAATTATTACTAAAGTGGTAGGTAGACCCATTTATTTCCAACAGTTTGAAACATACTTGTTTTTTTTTAATAATCAGAAATTCATTCTTAATCATGAAAATTATCTACAAAAAATTTATCAAATTACATTTTTAAAGCAGAGTAAAGAACAAATAAATAAAATTTCATTTTTTACATATTACTGTTATCAATTAGCAAAAAAAAATAAAATGTTTCAAAGTCATTCATTATTAACATTGCTTATTTTTAAGCATAATTTTTTCTCTTCTTCTGAGTAATTCATATAGAGAATTAGTAACTATTGTTTTCAGTCAAATCTTAAAGCATATCTAGTAATTGATCTAATTTCAAGACATTTTGTTCCCACAAAACTAATAAAACAGCTTTGGTTTCAAGAGAGTGAATAATAATAATAATAATAATAATAATAATAATATTAATAATAAATACATTTAAATTCTGTTAACAATTTTTACAAAAAGAGTTAAGACTTTCCCATGAGCAACATTATTTTACCCTGTTGTATTTTTATTAATGACCCCCCTACAAATGAAAAATGGCATGAGTGTTAATAAAAAAAAATACAGAAAGGGTTACATTGTCACTGATGGGGTAGTTTTAATTCTGTTAATTTTTTAGATTTGACTATTTACAAAAAATGCATAATCTTCACACTAAGATATTTTGGAAACTCAATAGACTTTCATCCATTAAAAATCAGAGGACACTGAAGACATAACTTAGCAGCTATCAAAGCTCTTGTTAGCTTTCACTTATTCTTCTTTAGTGACAGATAGATGAGTTCCAGAGGATCAAAAAACTAGCAAGTAAATATGGTGACTCCAAGGGTGTTGTAAATTATATCATTAAAGCCACTTATAAAAGAAATGAGTTGGGAGAAGAAGGATAGAGGTAAAAAGATAAGAGAAAAAAGGAAGTTTGGTAATTAAAGGCAAATCTATGGCTATATTAGTTGTACCACATGCTCAGAGATATGGGTTTATTTTGGGAATAATTGCATTCACAATTATGACTGACAAAGACAAGACTGAAGAATTGTTTGAATTGGAAATTTATGTTCTGAAATTATACGTACAGGTAGCCCTTGGTTTATGCCAGTTCAATTTACACTGATTCACAATAACGTCACTGCACAATTCACTGTGTAATTCCTCGATTTTCCCTATGCTAGATTTGACCAATCCTAGCAAGACACAAGTCCACAACAACAACAACACGTGTCCTGGCAGAATCATGGCTTGTGGAGATTGGTCAGTAGAGAACATTCCACAAACCGTTAGATTTGAATGAGCTGCAGACCCGACATAGAGCTACAGAAAAATGAAGAAAAAACTCCAAGAGTTATGAAAATGGCCGATCTAAAGCATATCCTTTCAACTACGGAAAGTTTGATGGATGAACTTTGTGAGTTAGACGATGATTAGGAGCAAAGTACAAATGTAAAAAGGAGCATCATCGACCATATTCAACCATATTCTGAAATTCTTAATAAAAGAAAGCAAATATGTAAACAATTAAAGATGGCTACTTTTGAAAGTAAAATTTTTTAATAAAAGTATTTCACTTTATTTTATGATAAAATACATTTAAAAAATTAAATTTATATGTATTTTGTATTATATTGTATTAATAAACAAAATTATTTGCTTATTTTTTCACTTATGTAGAACTGAACCGTATACCTCACTGTAAATATGGGTTCATTTTACACTGATTCAATTTTCACCAGCTTTTGTAGGAACGAAACTGCGGCGTAAACAGAAGGCTAATTGTATATATATAAAAAAAAACAAAAAATAGAGAATGTTTTTATTACATAGGGTCTACAGTAAGTTCTCTGGAGAAAAAGGTTAAAGAAAAATTGTTCTTCTTCAGCTTAGCATCACTACTTGTTAAGCTAACTGAGTATACAATAGAAATATCCATTGTCTGAAACAAAACTACTCAAATAAAGGCATGATGGAAAGGAACACCAATCAGACCATTGGAGCAAGTTTATATTCATTGTCTTTCCAAACATCTGAATGTTGTAAACACAAATAATGTCAAACACTTAATGATCATTAAAAATTGATATTAGACTCAACTAATGAGATAAAAGTATATCTACCAAAGTTCTTAGTAATTTGTGCATTAACAGATTTGCATCATTCTATTGCATGTTCTCTGGAAAAAATTAAACAACTTTTTCTTTCTATTCCATAATCTTAGTTCCACTATACATCCTAGAACAATGCCATAGTTTTTCGGCTAATGTTGACTTGAAACAGTCAAAACTTTTCTTTTAAGAAAAACCTATTTACTTTTCAATAATTTGGTTTCCTTTTCAAGTAGAAACTGTTATATTTCTTAAATATATAAATTATTCTAAAAGCTTGGTTAATAATGCAATTGGCTTTCATAAAGTATCTATGTATAATTTTTATTATTAAAAATATTTTTAAAATCAATTAAATACTCACGACTCTATAGTTTTTAATAGTGGATCAGGTTCAGCTTTTTCTTGTAGTAAAGACATATGTTCTCTACTGACTTTTATAATATCACAAAGTGCTTGAGCGGCATTTCCATTTCTTTCTTCAGTAAAATTAGGATTAATAAGCCCTATTAATCTTTGAACTACTTTTTGATCATCCAGCCACTAAAAGATTAAATAGATAGAAATAAAATAAAACTTTTTCTAATATGAAGCTATGCAATAAACAACTCTATCACAAAGTATTATTGCTAGTGATGGGACGATACCAAAATTTCTCCTGATTCCAATTCTTTTAAATACTTTCTAAAGTTTTTCTTAGGTTAACAAAATTAATGATTTATATTACGAACATGGTACATTCATTGATTAATAAATATAAAGCTTAAGAATGGAATACAATTGGGAAATCCAGAATCAATCTTTTGAAAAAAAAAAAACATGAAAATTCTCCATTTATATGTGGATACATATGCTTTTATTGTGTACTACAAAATAAATTTGTAATCTTATTTCAGATAAAGTTATATCTCAACACTACCCCTGAAGAAATTACAGCTAATTTCCTTTCACTCAGTGAACTATCCCATCATGTCATGTAGGTTTGCCATCTTAGGAAACTACTTTATTGGCTGACGAAATAAGGAGGGAAAGGAAAGGTAAATGAAAAGATGCACTTTTTTCACACTTTTCACAATGGGCATGTCTTGTAGTAAATCATTTAGTGTTAAATACAATGGAGTTAAATCAAGTTTCACAAATGATGCAATAAGCCAAATGAATATGATCCTTACGAGTTAACTGATTTTTGAATTCATTCACTCAAGCCACAAATATCTAGACTGATTCATTTTGAGTTTTAAAAATCAACAAAAAACACTAAACAGCATGAAC